ATTAAAGGTGAATAACTACTTAATTGTACAATTATGAGAGGATCTGTAAGAGCTGCATGACTGCAGGGCTCATGACAATGAAGCCATGAGTTGCAGTGACAATAAAATCCATCTGTAATCTTTTGTTTCTGTAGTCACGAGAAAGACTGGCGCTCGTCTCCCCGCCAAGTCTGTCCTGAATGAAATGAGAAAAAAAAAATGTTCAGAAAGATTCTGAGAGGCTGTAAGATTTAATGTAAAAACTCGTGTTAGACTTGTCGCTGGTTGGTAGTGTGTCACATAAGGTTTTTCATAATAAAATGCCGCCCTTACACAGAGGTAATAAGGTATCTATAATTCAACAGCTGAGGAAGCAGACTGTTGGGGAGAGGAAAGGAACGCTCCATGTGACTCTGCTAACAAGCTGTGACAGAGGCGACATCAACAGAAAGATGGAGCCAAGAATCAGAAATTAACAATGAAAAACAGTATTTGCTGCTTAGATGATTCACTGACTGACTGACTAATTATCCATCTGAGTGATTGGCTGATGACTCTCGAAATATGTCCTTAAATCTCCATGTCGAGGAGCCAGCATCAGTGCAAATGTGGCAAAAAGTGTGTTCAGACAGAAAGAGAGGCATTTTTTCACTGTCTTGTTCTCACAGATTTGGCTGGTTGTGCTTGTTTGCCTCAAATGGCCATTGTTGTATACCAGCCTGGTTTGATGTTGCAAACCAAACATCCCACAATAATCCCACTGTTGTACATCTAATATGGAGGCTTGTGTCCCCATCCTCTCTTTTTCATTCTCTCCTCTATCTTCTTTTGTTTCCCCTCATGGAATATGGCACTTTTCTATTCTAACTGAGCACTTTTTTTTATACAACTCACCTCATTCACCCAATCTACACTTTTTTCTAGTACTTTCTATTCAACATTCACACAAATCCATACTCTGGTGCAACTTGGATTAGACAAGGGTCAAACCACCAACCTTCTGGTTAGCAGGAGGCCTGCTTTAACCTCCTGAGCCACAGCCACCCAAATGTCAGGACGGACGGCTGCCTCTTCCTGATCCGAGAGTTTTTCTTGTCGAAAGGGAGTTTTTTCCTTCCCACAGTCACAAAGTTTAGTTATTAGGGTTTTCTTTAGAAGACTGTGGGGTCTTTACCTTACAGTATAAATGACCTTGAGGTGACTGTTATTGGAAATTGGTGGTATGTTAATAAATCTGAATTGAAAATGAATTGCTGGCTCCAAAAAAGCAACTCAGCTTTATAGCAGAAGCAGGTTTATTCAGCCTGGTGCAAAAAATTGTGGTGTTTTTTTCATTTCCTCCTTCGCAACAGCTGTACAGGGAGTAGCCTTTTATATAACATGCTAATTTAAACTCTAATTAGGCATTATTGACATGTGGCATGTGGGTGTTGTTGAGCCTTGTTCACGGTCTTGTTCATATTCATCTGTGGGCATACATGGTACCAAACATGGATGTAGCCTCTGTGTCTGAAAAATGAGGCCAATGCAGAAGTGCCATGAGATGGCAATAACTGCAGTTGCAAAAAGATTAGTTATTATTAGAAACTTTAATAAAAACCACTTAGCCCACTTAAACCATTTTGCCTGCTTTTTTTTTCTTTTTCCTCATTCCCTGGAACTTTTTAGAGCAAAGCAACAAGTGGGGCTCGTCCGGGATTTGAACCCGGGACCTCTCGCACCCGAAGCGAGAATCATACCCCTAGACCAACGAGCCACTGATGAGTCACCAATGGCATAAAAGATTGGTGTACCTACATCTCTTGTTGAACCTACAGAGACCTGTTTAGCTTCTAAGTAGCCTACCTATTAGCTTAATTTAATCATCTTTAATGATCCATTGTTAGCGTCTCTGTTAAAATCATGGAAAACCGGATGTACCTTATTAAGGAAGCTAACCAATGGTTAGTGGTTAGTTGGTCTATCCTTTTGTCCTCTAATTTCTGGCTTTGAAAAAAAAACCAATATGCACAGCCAGAATAAACTCAAGGGTTGAAAACATTACTTGATGTGTTGATTTTTTACAGTCTATCCTTGAAGCCACAAAGGTCAGCTTCCACTATTACCAAAGGTATCTAGCCACCATTTGTTTCTGCATGAAAATCTTACTGTGACCCACACAGTTGTTGATTTTTCAGTCTAGAGTGGCAGAAGCCAGTTTATCTCTAAAGCTTTCTTTCCTGCCTCCCATAGATTATTAATATCTTCTTGGGAAACAGATCATAGATATCTTTTATTTCTTCTTCTTTGGCATCAAACACAGTGCAAACCTCGAGGGGATTCTTCTAACCAAACTCTCCCCTTTCAAAAAAAAATTTAGACAGATAAAAAGAACTTACTTAAATTACAGCTAAAGTTGGTGTTTTTTTAAAGCAGCATTAGAGATAAAAGTATAGAGAGTGTAGACATAAATTGCTGGTCACCAGACTGTAAAGGTTGGGTTTTGAGGAAGTCACAAGAAACCAGCTGAAGTGAGATAGAGAACTTTAATGAAGTGTTGTGCAGTAGGAGGTTAAACTTGAGCTCACAGCTAAGATGAACCGATCGCCAAGAAATGTGGTGTGTGGGCAGATGAGCAGTCACGAATCGTCATGATCTTCATTAAATTTATGAGTAATCTATTATGTCTACATCAGCGGTCAGGATTTCTGTGGAGTGTCTTTGCTGAGTACTGCCTCCACGTAAAAGACACACACGTGCCATCTGACAGCAAATATGCTGTTAATCCAGTCTGGCACACAACAAAAAGAGCTTAAAGCCTTTTCTTAGTGTGTGATTATGTATAAAGGCTTGCATGCTGAGTGCAATTGTTTAGTTGAAGTGTAATCCGGATGGCTTGGCAAGTCTGAAGGAATCAGCCACTCAAACCCAGCACACACATCCCACACTTTCTTCTTTTCTTTTCTTTTTTTTTCTTTTTTTGACGTCATGTTAAAAAGCTACGACTCCAGAACTGTTGTCATAACCACTTTATTAGTTTTTATCCACCTATTTCACAATACCAAAGAAGATCCATGAAGATGCAGATAAGGACAAGCGTAACACTGTCACAGCCATCAATGACCAAACAAAACCGAGAGAGAGAAACAGAAGAAAGAGACGACGAAGAAGAAAACTGTAAAAAAAAACTCTGACCATTCTGTGGGCTCGAGAGCCCTGGCAGGCACTTTACAACAGGGTGTCAAATTGTTTGCGGGAATGATGGATTGAGGTAATAAGTGAACAGAAGCACTGAGTGTATCTTAACCACAGTTCATTTTGCTGCACAGTGTTGACTGGATACATTTTTAGCGTAGCTGGACGAAGCGAGAATTAAACCCTCGGCCCTCACAGTGCATCTGGCTTGCTCTTCCCTCCTCTATTT